CTTTAGTGGCACGAGTGTATTCCCACGTGTCAGACTTGACCCAGAACGTACTCTGTACTCTTGTAAAAGGCCCGAACCTTCCACAACAATGAATATCTACTATGACTACTCTATGCTATATTAAACATAACATGCTTCAAAGCGTGTTCATTCATTTTTAACCAACTCAATAAAATTACCTTAAGCTAATGCTGGTAAATCAGTGTTAAATTTTACATCATACATCTGTAGGTGAGCAGTCAAACGACTTTTTTCCTTGCTGGACAAATAATGTAGGTATATTGTTTATTAATTTTGTAGTTGCTGATTAATGCAGCTCTTTTGTTTTACTAGGTCGGTTTCTAAAAGTCATACTATTATTTAAAGAATTATAATGAACTTGACATTAGGAATAAGTTTGACTTGGTTTCGGTTTAGATGTATAGAATACTGACTACCTACTTGATATTTTCAATTTAAAGATTAATTCTTGGACGGTTTTGGTCTCAAATTAAGAGTTTTTTCTTTTATAGATTATGTACGGGGCTGCCGATGGCCTGCCAATAAGAAGGCGGGTTCGCGGAGCCAGCGACTATGAAGACATTCTGGCAGGAAACGACTTTCTTTCCGTATTTCTGGAATCAACGCTACACCGACTAAAAAAAGAGACCACCACTGAGGACTTGTTTGCGTTCACCGAAGACACCATCAGTACAGAGTCGTACACTAGAGAAACCAGAGATGCTACCAACTATTTCAATGAATTGCCCGAGTCGACCGAAAGCAGCAAGACTATTGACGATGGTGTCATTATAGCTGTTCACGTGTCTTCGTCTGTGGATAGTCAAAAGAACCGATTGGAAAGCTTTTCTCGCAGCGAGTCGACAACTAGTGTCTTGGATCGGAACGTTTTAGCTGCAGAGGAAGGACGCAGCATATTAGCCAACGCGGGCAAAAGCGAACTGACTGTGGAGGAACCGACGAGTATAACGAAGGAGGTTCAACACCTTCCTTACCATTATTCAACGGGTAATAAAGGCAATTCGCCCGGGCCTTTCCATCACAGCTTAGTTTACCACGACAGCCCTAGCGAGCCTGGACGAGCAAGATCGGTTTCATACAGCAGTATCATCCAGAATATCCAACCATCCAACGAGAAGCCGCCCGATGCTCTTGAAAGGATTCAGCGAAATTATGAAACTGGCACCGCTAATGACTTTAACGCATTTGAAAAAAATAAAGACGAAAATGCAACTCCTAACGCGTTTACAACGACGACGATCGCTACTAGCAGCGAACCGACTAGTCTCTCAGCCACCACGACTATCAAAAGCTGGTCTAAACCCTATTCGGATCCTCGCAGGAAAGTGTATGCCCGGCAGGAGCAAAATTATGAAGTGGACGAGGCAGTCAGTGTGGTAACTAATGGCCGAACGCATGGGGTTCAGAACACTCAAAAGCCTAAGGACGACATCAAGGACAAAGATCAGAAAGTTGGATACGTGGTAGAAGGGCGTGACTACCGCAAGTACCGGGTAGAAGAACGGACTTCGGACGGTTTTATTGTAGGCGAATATGGAGTGGTCAGTCACAATGACGGGTCACTAAGAGGAGTGAGATATACGGCTGATGGAACGATTAATCCTCGCTTGATTTATGACGCTTTAATGAAGTTTTTAGCTTTGTGACCGCATAATCCTTGTACTGATTACCATTAGTTCCTGTCGAAATCTGTCGTGGCATAATGTGTACATACAGTACCACAATCAATTTTTTAACTTAAGTCTGAAGCACGTAAAGTATCTGACAAACAATTGATTCACTAATGTGTCATATAACAGTAAGCTGTTTTCTTTTGGCGTTGAGACAATTTTATTCAATATAAGTTTGTTTCCGCTAAAAGGAAATAAATAGAAGTGCAATGACTAATTCAAACCGATAGAACCTATTTGATTGTAGAAAATAACCCTTTTCCAAGCTATATTGTGCATTGTTTGATTTAGTCTGACACTTTGATTGTATAGAATCTCTACGGAACTAATCTCTTTTGACTATTAATTTGCTCATTATTCAATAAGATTGTAAAAATATATTTTAAGCTATACTCTTAAGAAAATCTATTTAATAAAGCAATTCAAAAAGTACTAGTACCTCCTGTGTACCCACCTATAATTACATACCAACTTATTATGAAATTTTAAGTCAATTTTTAGCATACATTATTTCCAATCATTGAACATTTTCTTCATCAACGTTATCTATCCAATATCAAACTGAGAATGTTTGTTTGAAGGTGGCAGTAATCTGAAGAACTTTAATTAGCTGCGTCCTTGCTGGGCTTAAAATGCATGTTCAATAAAAGACCATTAATCAGCTGGATGATTAAAATATAAAAACGCAATTTATTAAAGGATCCGCATATTGTCACAATGGCTTAGCATAATTGCGTTTCGCTTGTATAGAAGCAGAAATGTGTGCTTTTTTGTAACCGAAAATAAAACAAACAGTAAAGTTTCATGGCTCTTCCGCTGGATTAGTATTATGGTGTGTTTACACATGCATGGAACCTAATGGCACGCCAGTTTAATTTTCATATTGATTTAATGGTGGAATACTGGCCATCCATCCATTAATTTTTAAAGAATCCATATGCCTTTCTCGTTGATTTCTGCTGGCATAAGTAAAAAACTATGTATATCCCATAAGCAGGGATCAGATACATAGTATATAGCATTCCAGAAATTTTATTGCCAGAAAAATGCAGGGGAAAACTCTACTGGAAACTAGCGAACGAACTTGCAAGTACTTGTCTTGTCCATTATTGTCAGCTCCATCACTTGTCTCTGCATCAGCTTCTTTTGTTGCACTTGCTGATGTTCCAACAGCCTTATTGGCGTCACTAAATCCATGCATGTGTAAACTCGCCATTAAGTCAAGAAAAATCTCTGTTGCTTCTTGTCGGTTTTTAAAGATATATTAATGTTTTTAGTTTTTTTAAACCCACGTATATCCATAATTGTGAAAACTGCTAAACTGCGGTGGCATTTTTGCTCAAAAAAATTATTTTATTGGATTAGAGATAGCCCAAAAAAAACTTTTATTACGATTGAAGTTGTTGTGAACAAGCCCAAACGATTCTTAGAAATTTATCATTCACCAATGGGACAAGAGATCACCCGACTATGTCGTCTTGAAACTCTATTGAATACAAATATTTTGAATCACTTCTCTCGAGTCACATTTTATCTGGCCAAAATTTGGATCGACGTTACAAGATGCGAAGTTAATTTTCATTACTTACGAATTTCATCGTCTGGTTCATAATAATTTTCTTTTCTTACAAATCCCCCACGCTTAAAGCAATTTGCAATCGCTTTTCGGCTAACTTTTTGTCAAGCTCTATGAATGAAATTGACTGCATCTAAGAGATTTATAGAAAATGTTTCATTTTTATCGATCGCCTCCAACGTTTTCATAAGAAGAGTTTTTCACCGGCAGACTCTCCAACAAGTTTTCTGCTACTGATATTATGCCTCTTCTTCATACACTCTTCCCAACTTTTAGAACAAGCAAACTCTTTGTTTCTGATTTTACTCCCCATTTCACTAGCATTTTCATGCAAAACACTATCACTTATGGGAACGTTTTCTTGTCTTTTTTGAGTAAACCACTTAATAAGTTCCTTGTCAACCTTTTCATGTGCAGATAATTTTAACTTTCTACATCTAACATTTGTTTTGTCATACGCTGATAAAATGTTTTCTCTGTTTTTCCAT